GGGGTGTGTGTGTGGGGGGGGGTGGGGGGGGGGGGGGGGGGGGGGGGGGGGTTAAAAGCATCACTGCTGCCACAGGATTTTACCTGAGTGCTCTCTGGCTCTCCTTTCAGAGATGAATCCCAGACGGCCGCCTCATGCGTACCTGATCTCTGAGGGTTCTGAACCTCTCACCTTCACCAACGTCTTCCCACACTGGGAGAGGAGAACAGGAGCCCACATACAGGTAGATGTCGGAGACAAACTTGAAAAGTCACTTTTCAGGCTGTCTTTTTATTGGCTGATGTTGGTATTCAGGAGGGTGACACGGGCAGAGGAAAGCTGACCTTGGTGCAGGACGCCCTGGCTGAGCTCATGCAGACCCAGCACCCTCTGGAGGAGCTGCTGCGGAGCCCCTTACCTGAAGGAGTGGACCCCCAGCAGCTGGAGGTCCACCTGTCTGACCACGACTTCCAGGTAAGTTGTAACAGCAACAGCAGCGGGATGATGCAATGATGCCTTGCCGCCGGTAGGTCGCACTATTGACAAGGTTTTGCAAATAAAAACGACTGCTCTGCTGTTGATATGCAGGATTTATGAGTGCTCTGTGAAGCTCATCTGTAAATAAGAGATTGAATAGTAACTCACGTGTGAACCAGACCTACCGTGCGAGTCAAACAGTTCTAAGACAGATGTCAGAACTTCTAAAGGTGTCTGATTTAATGACTAAAACATGTCAAGATGCTCGGGGGTCCCTGACAGGTTTTATCTTCTCATCTTTGTGATGTGTTGACATGTGTTTCCTTCATTTGATTAGGGTTTTTTAACCCTCAAAATTGAACTTATTTAAATTATTTTTAATTTTTTTTACTAAACGAAATGAACGCAGATGTTGACCTAGTGCTAAAAAGACATCCCACGGAACAGTGCAAAGAATCAGGAAACACTGCTTTCAGAAGTGTTAGACACAAATTGAGGATATTGGACAAAATATCTTTGGTATTATTTTAATTTAGTCGCTCCATAAATAAATCACCTCTGTTGTGTTTCAGAGTGTTTTGGAGATGAACGTTCCTCCCTCCAGAGCTGGAAGCAGATTGATTTGAGGAAAAGCGAATGCTCGGTTCACTAGAGAGCGAGCGAGCGGAGTGTGGAGGCGGCCTAACGCTGCCGTGGCAGAAACTCCCTCTTCCACCACAGGCAGAGAAATAGAGGAATAACTGTCACTGTGTTGTTGCACAAAGGACTACTCAGCACGTCATAGGCAAAGAAGCAAATGTTGACATTTATTTCTGTCAGATCAGTATAGTGTGTGCACTTTTTATCAGACATGAATTTTATCCCAACACATTTTCCTATAAGATGTTTTCGTCTCTGTACAAATCAATTCCAAGAGTAAAAATAGGGAAGCGTCGACGGTGAAGGATATCAGTGATGAACAGTGGAATAAAGATGAAGTAAACACATAAACACATCCGAGCGAATACACGACAGGCAAAATAAAAATGTAATATGTTTCTAATTATAACTCCACTCACATCATATCTACTGTGCTGTTCAGTTTTTGTGTTGACTGATAATCAACTTCTGCAGTCGTGAGGGATGATGTTAAGGGACCGACCTTCTGACCCCACACTGTCCAACAATTAGGCTGAATCTCCTCTGGTGCTCAGAGCTGGAGCTCCCTGGTCATACTGGCTGTTTTTTTTATGCTCAGAATGGATTAGCTGAATAAGCCTCTAACATGTGACTGTGCAGTGAAGGAGAGATTGGACTTAAGTCACTGCTGGCTGATGGTGAAATATCCAAAAGCCCTTTTCACTTTAATACAACCGACATCCATATTTTTATGGTGACACAAAGAAACGCTGACTCACACGTTCACTCACAATACAAACATCATGACCAGGCAAGTAAATACACTTCAGTAAAATACAATACGAACTAAATGGTTTAACTTGATAATGCAGTTGAACTCTTACATAACACAACAAAGGACTGATAGTGAATTGAAAAAAACAAACAGAAAATCCCATACTATGTGATGGGCACCTTGTGAGAACCTGATTTACACTGAAGTAAAATTAAAAGGTCATTCAGGTGACACTCTGCAACAATAGGTCAGAGTTCACCACACAGCGGTATGTGCCAAGCTTCATGAGGTTAAAAAATATCTATTTAGAAGCAGTGAAATAAACAACAACCTGGTCTACATTAAAAATACAAGGATAATGGACATTTCTAGCACACAGGAATGAAAAAAAAAAATTTACAGGGGATTATTGGGCGTGACAATAATAAAAGGTGATGTAACCATGGGTATTTAATGTTATTTGTCCTTTTGCTTCCTAAATATTTGCTCAAATGTGGCAGATTTTATTTGCCAATTGCAGAGGACTGGATTTTCTTTTAATTATAATGTTTTATTTTAAAAACAAAAAGTGAAGTCCTTGAATCATCCAGCAACTTTTCACTGAAGAGAAGTCTCCTGGACTGAAAGCATTTGTTAAACAGGCTTTGTCAACACAGTCCATAACAACGTGTGCCTGTTCAGTTTCAACTGGAAACCAAATATAGCAACAGAGATTCTCCATGACCAATCAGAGCCCTGTTGGAGGCGCTGCTGCTGCTGTCTCTAAATGGCCTGCTCCCTCTGTGCCTCACCTCCATGTATGCTTCTTTCTGGCTCAGAGGCCAATGCCGCTTCGCGCAAAACCACCATGTGATCTTCGGCGGCGTGAAGTGACTGGTCGATCCAGTCCATGCTGCCGGACATGTGACAGGCGTTACGGGTGACCAGCACCAGGTGACTGACAGAGAGCAGCAGAGCAGTGGCCCTGAGGAGGCAGAGATGGGATTTCATATTTTATTACTGACTGAAAAGCATTTTTTAAAGTAGAAAACGTTGCCAAGAATCGAATGGTTATGCTAGTTAAAAAGAACTCAACGAACAAACGACAATAAACTCTGCAGTACTACATGTGTTCAGTCGCCGGTTTGCTGCCCTCTGTTTGTATTTTCTTTCTTTTTGTTCAATTGCAGTAGATCAGGGTATTTTTTTTATTTTTTTTGCTTAATCGACGAATTCATATATATATTATATTTATATATTTTCACATTTTTACAGGTTCCTGGAAAAAAACCTTTTTGGACCTACATTGTTTGAATAGCTTAGAAATGAACGCAGTAACGAGGTATGTTTACAGGTGGCACTGGGCTCTGTTTAATATTTAATTATGTAAATGATGATGATGTCACATCTCTCTCTCTCTGAGACTGAGGATCTTTAACGATGTAGGAACAGATGAGGGTACCTGGCGTCCAACAGGATAGGGTCCAGAGGAGGGTACATGGACCTGACCACGTCGTCTACCCTGTGAGACAGGACAGTGAAGACAGGTGAGCTCCAGTTGGACACACCTTGATACGAACCTTCAAAGTTGAAGTCTTTCGTGTTACCTCGGGCTTATGCGTTTTGCCACAGTGATGATGTCACTCAGGCTTGCTGGGGCTTTGACCTTTGCTCCTGAACCCATTGTCATGGCAACGAGCTTCTCAGTCAAAGTGTGGCATATCTGCAGGAGAGGGGAAAAACATCTATCTGTCTATCTATATATACGTATACTGTATATTATAGATTTAAAACCAGCTCAGTTAAAGGTAAAAACCTTCCTTACCTTTAAGATGGAGATACAGTGAGAGACCAGACCCCTGCACGGAGAAAGAAACAGACTGAACCAGAAATATTGACACAAAGTACTTAAACTTTTAGATCATAAGCAGAACAAAAAGTTCTAAAACTCCAACTGAGGCCGCAGTGCTGCGGTGAAACGTACGATGCGTCGTCTATCCAGTCCTCGTTCTCCAGGATAGCCTCAATGTGAGGGTTGGTGATGACAACGTCGTCCAGCTCCAGCTCTGAGGGTTCACTCTGCGTCTCCATGGATCCAATCAGATCCAGTGTAGGTCTGTGACAGGCAGGAAGCAAACTTCATTGTTGTACAGAAACAATATGATTCTTGATGATGAACTAAACTAGGGATGTAACGATACAATCAACTCATGATATGATTCACGTTTTTTTGTTTGCAATACTTGATTGTTGATTAATATACAGTTATTATTGTTATAATAACTGTATATTAATCAACAAAAGAATATAAAAAATATTGAGTTGTTTCAACACCTGAAAGTCACTCAGGCTACACAGGAACCTGATGTCTTGGTTTAAGGGTGGATCACAACCAACGTTTTATGCACATACTGCCACCTACTGTACTAGAGTGTGTAGTCCCATGGTATGACTTCTGGGTTTTTGAGATAACGCAGACTTGTACATTTTTCATTTCAACCAATTCACAATGCATCGTTACATCCCGAACTAAAACCTAATTTATCCGATTTTATTTCAATTAATTTGGTTCGCAGACTTCTCTCTGATTTACTGACTTGGAGTCAAAGTGGTGCAGCAGATCACGAGGACGGCAGTAGCGGTGTCTGCAGACCACCACCAGAGCGATGAAGGAGGCCAGGAAGATGGTAGCCAACACCCCAATGGCTACAATCACCACCGTCTCCATGATGACTCCAGCTCCCACAGCAGACTGCAGTCAGAGGCTGGTCCAGAAGAAGAGCGGCCAAGAAGGCTGTGTGATTGTCCCAGCTTCAGTAGGAACAAGTACTTATCTACTGAGGGGGGGGGTAATTTTAGTCTGATTGGTTGACCCTACAATTAGAGGAGGGGGAAATGTCAATGTTCAGGATAATGTTTCTACAGTATATTTTCAAAGATTCCCATCTGTATGTGGTCAGTTGTAGTACTACTGTAGTACTACAACCATCAGAGTTGCAGCTTAAAAACTGAACTAAAATCTCAACTTTGACACTCGGTGGTCTTAGCGCCTGTTGTCATTTATCTTCTACCTACAGTGCGTTCTCTGAATCTAGGCTATAGATTCAATGAGTCCATAATTAGACGTAGTGTCACCATAATTAATTTTGTAATTAGGGGTTTTCAACAGTGATTTATGCTGTTTAAAGCACAAATTCCTATAGCAGTAAATCAGCAGTCTCAAACCCCCGTCCTGAGGGCCACTTCAGGCCTGGAAAACCCCAACATCAGTCCAGCACCTCAGTGTAAAAAATAATTAACTTTTCCTTGAGATTTATTTTAAAAAATACTGTTTTAAAATATTATATTTGTTCACTAAAATGCTTTAGTTGGTCATTTAATTTCACTGTAATGTGGCCCCTCAGATTTATTGACAACAGCAGCCGTGGCCCTCGACTCATTCCAGCTAGAGCCCTGCTGTAATCGTTCACCATCACAAAAGTTCATTTTTTCGCCTGGCTGACGAGATGAGATTCCGAGGTGGAATGCTGTAATTCTTTAATCAGATTAATATGCGTTGCACTCGCTCGTACACACGGGGATTTTTCCCGTCCTTCTCAAGCCTGTGAGCTTTTTGGACTCATTTATGTTTCACAGGCAGGTGGTCTAATAAAGCTGAAAGCCCCCCTGCTTTACAGAACACACATTAATATGAGTGAAGTAACCTCAGATAGAGAACAAAAACATTCACAAGGCTTTTAATCACATCCTTCCATGTGTCTGTATTGTTCCTTGTGTTTGCAAACAAAAACATTGTTAGCTACAGTAAATAGCTAACAATAAGTGAGTGGGCTAAAAGTCTGAAAACTGAAAAATATAAATGTGTTTAGCTACAAATGATCAAAATGTTACCTTGTAACTAAAGGTACATGTAACATCAAAATACATCAAAACTATTAGAGTTAGCACAGTAGATGCTAAAAGTGAGCAGAGTAACAGCTAAATAATAAAAAGGGCAAAGACCACTAAAAGTTAAACCGTAAAAAGCTAAATGTTAGCCAAGAGCTATTTGTACAACAGCTATAAGTCAGTAACTAACAGTAGGTGAAGGCAAGAGCTATTTGTACAACAGCTAAGTCAGTAACTAACAGTAGGTGAAGGTTAGCTAAAGAGTGGGTTTTTTATATAAATTCAAAATTGTTCTTTAAATATATTATACAACTACTAATCTAGTAGTCCTGCAAATACAGTTCTTTCCCCAGTAATTACTGAACACAAACACGACATGACAACAGCGTGAAAAATGGTCAGAAAAACAAGATTAAAATGAAGAGTGCGTTTTGAATGGTGTGTGAAGCCTGGTGTTTACAGGTAATCAATACAACTTTATTTATGACTGTGGGAAGAACTCAGTGCAGTTCAGTGGAGAGAAGAAGACGGATTATATTCATGGAGTTTTATATAATGACTATTGTACGACTGAAACTGCACAAGTAAAAATACTAATAATGAGAGATAACAGAAAATATTGTTTTTATAATCTTCATGCTAACAGGATTCTTGATTCTTTTAAGGTGCAGTAAATATGATTAATCCCTTTCTAAGGTCTTTCAAGGTCGACATTTTTTAAAGCTTTGTTTTGATGTTTGACTTGTTTTTTTTTCTTTCCTTCTTTTAGTCTTTCCAGATTGTTTCCTTCTCCAGATTCTCTCATGGGACAACACATTTCCTAAGGTTTTTAGATAAATTTTTTCTTCTTTTTTTAAAAAAAAATCTTTTGTTTTGTTTTTCTGTAACATTTGATTCTGTTTAACATCTTGATAACTTCCCATTTCCCTGTTCTGCTTTTTAGAGTCTTCAGTTGTTTCAAAAAGTTTTTCTAAGTGTAGGTTTGTGATATGGCCCAATATACAGGCCAAATCCTAAAATAGTATAATCTTGGGTTTCATAAAAATACAAAAAACAAAAAACGAATTCCTCTCAAGGTTTAAAACAACTGTACACGCATTTTATAGTATGGATGCGACTTATTTATTTAATTTATTTAAAACACATTTTTAAATGTAGGTACTATCTCTATCAGATAGTATTTGCATTCACTGTAAGGAGACAAATGCGAGAATATCAAAAGTTTTTTAAATCAATTTTCTGACTTAAGTAAGACTTGTTGTAAAGACGCAACAAGGTTCAGTTTCCGAACACAATGAACAAAGTTCGACTAAACACGTGAAAAGACCCTCGACCACAATAACCCTTTTCAAAAGTTTAGAAACAATGGACAGAAGGACGATTTCTTCTTGTTTAAACGTTGCACAAAGTTAACGCAGTTTAAATCGTGCATTTTTAACTTTCACTAAACTCAAGGATGTGAAGCTTGGAGACTTACCTCAACATTTTGTCCTTTTTTACTTGATTCTTCTACAGTGCAACATAAATCCAGGTTTTCCTCCAGACACCGGAGCGCGGAGACGGCACCGACATCTCCAGACCTGGGGCGACGTGAACGCGCATCGAAGCTCCCCACTACTCCTCACTGAACGAGGTAAAAGTGTGGCTGTGTGAGAAAGTTTACGAACTAATAACAGGAAACCGTCTCTGCGCGTGCGTGTGGCCGTAACGGCAACGCGCTTCTCTTAATGTGAACTCAACATCTGCGAAGTTTTTAAAAAAAAAAAAAAAATTTTTAAAAGTGTGCTGTAAACACACAGATGTGTTGGTTAATCACTGACTAGTGCATCTGACTGTGGTTTCTGTTAAGTGTTAACCAATAGATGCATTGATCATTAGCAGAACTAATCACCAGCTAACAGCTGATGCCCTCTGAGGGCAAACCAAGCTGTAAATGAACTGTAAAATCCTTGATGCTGCTGAGATGGCTCCCAGTGTAAAGGAAGTTAACATTAACAAAAGTAGGTTTAAATAGTTGTAACACAGTAAACATGCTTTAGTTAAAAATAAATGCACTTTAAAATGTTTTTTTAAAATTAATCTTGTTGTGTTATGAAAGTCTATGCACTCCCCGGGTGTTATGAATGCTTTTTTATGTTCACAAGAATCCTCCCATTGAAGAACATGAAGAACATTGAACTTACAGTGGTTTGCATCAGCCACAATTCTCCACGCCTTTGTGTGTTATCCTTAAAAAAAGCCAGGTGCATGTCGGATTGACAAATCAGTTCTCAGTTCTCAGTTCTCCAGGCAAAAAAGTTAATAATTGATAGTTTTTTGCACAGTTATTTTTAACGGTTCAGTCATTGCATCAGCGATTTCGCTCACAAAAGATTTGTCTTTACTTTAAAAATGTATTTATGAATATACTGTATCTTCCCAAGTGTTTACTTAATCCTACTTTTTTCGGAAAACGGGAGGAAAGCAGAGCCATACTGACAGACTGGAGATCAGCCAAAGAACAGGTGATGATGAAGGTGGGATGAATTACCATGTGTTTGTATTTATTTATTTTGTTTTAAAAATTGTCAATTAAGTCTTTTTATGAACCAAGAATCAGTGACAGCTGTGGTAGAAGCCTTCAAAACATGTTTGGGGATCTTGGAGGATGACACTCACTTATTATATTTTTTATTTTTATGCAACATTTTTGGGGTTTTAACCAAAACTAATTTTGTTTGTTTAAAATCTCTAAAACGAGTACCATACCTTACCACTAAGTGGCAGTAATGTGTAGGAGTAATGTGTAGGTGTCTCATATCCCAGTGATACTCGTTTGCGAATGAGGAAAAGTCAGTAGTCCTGTGATAAAGGAGAGAAGTTTGCTGGAAGGTTTTTATTCTGTCGTTTTCTCCATGAGGTTTTTGTGAAGTTTCTCTTCTTTTTGTTTTCACAAAGAAGAACGTCAACCCTGACAGGAGCCTTCATCTGTTCCAGGTTGTTGTGAACCTCTAGAAGCTTCTGAGTCCCATAGTTGACAGCAGGTAGGGTCATGTTTGATGCATGCTCTGCTCCTCTTCTTCATTGTCAGTCAGGTATGTGAATCACAGGAGGGGACAAACGTGAAGTGAAGCAGGAAGTTAGTTTATATTTGTTCTCTGTGTCTGTGTTTGTGTTTGTGCTCCCGCAACACTCAGCAGGGTCAGCAGTGAAGGTTGACCACCGCTTTACCACAGCGTCACTCTCTTATTGATCCATGTGTGGGGAGGAAGTGGGTTCATTTACAGGCCCTGTGGTCTTTATGACATCTCTGTACAGGAGGTGGGAGTGAACAGCATTCATTGTGTGTAAACAGGAAGGAGGGTCCGTCATACAGACACGTGTCTGTGGGTGGCCCTGTTTTACATGGCATGGATGTGGGGCTGTGCTGATGACTTATGTGCTGCTCATGGAGCCTTCATCAGAAACAGTGGGTGACAGTCTTCACTGTCAGAGCTGGACAACACTCACTGCTGTCTGGGTGTGTGTGTTTCCCGCAGCATCTCGTGGCTGCTGTGCTTATTTAAGTGGAAAGTCAATCAACTCTGGCAATTTCTTGCTGTGTTACGTTTTACAATATTTTGATGATTAAATTTGATGCAGTCGTAAAGAGCTCAGTATGAGAGCAGCCTTTTACTTTTTTTTTCTTTTTTCTCATTGCTCGCTTCACAAGATTCTCTCCATCATCTTTTTCCTGCCTGAATCTAGACCTTTTGCTTCCTTCACCTGCACTCAGAATATGTTAAATTCAACTTTCTGAGGTTAAAAATGCACATAAATGTAACGCAAGGTCAGGATCTCTACCTGGGGATTGGGAAAAAACTATTGGCCCGTAAGGTTCTGAATTCAGATAGCCTTTTAGCTCTTTTATATTTTATATTTTTGTAATGCTGATGATGAATTAATGTCAATTCAGTATCATCAGTAAATCTGCATCTAAAACGAATCCTGTGGGAGGCCTGTGGTTTTATATTGGACTCGTACTGTTTTCAAAGCTTTTGACAGGAAATAAATGAGATGAAGCAGTTCTTCCCCGCTCAGTTTGAACATCAATTTTCTGCTGGGAACACTGTGTATCCAAGACTGAGAACAAGGAGAAAAAGAAGAATATATTTTTTTGTAATTAGATATAATTTTATAAAAAGAATAATCTTCATGGAGATAAGATATTGTAGAAAGTGTAATACATTTATATTATATTATATTCTTCTGTGTTATGATGTATTCAGGATCACTGCTGGTGTGTCGGTCTGAATCTCAGATGTGTTTGTAGATTTATAAAAACCCCTTTACAGAACTTTCTGCTTTGAAGTACCTGTAAAAATGTCGCCTTCTTTGCACGTTCACCCTTGTTTCCTGTCAAGTGTCTCTCCGCGTGTGTTTGCAGTTTTAGAAAAGAACTAAAAAAGCTAAAAAAAAAAAAAGCACAACCAGAGAGAGAGAAAACAAACTCCTGTTTGTTTTTAATTTCACCCTTGGGCGTTGACCACCCACCATCTTACATGGCTTTGAATCTTATATGCAGATGAGCTGGAGTTGAGCTGGAGCCTTCTATGACTATAACGATGCTGGGTGGGGTTTGGCACAGATGACTGGTGGAGCCTCAGTGGAGTTTAGGACATAAACATGTCCTTGAGAATCAAAGAATCCAGCAGGCACTCGGCCAGACTGCTCTGCTTCTTCATTTTTTAAAAAAATTCTTTTCCTCTTCAGTTCTGCTGAAATCCCCTTCTTGGCAGCCAAACAGTAAAATGGCAAACATTTGTCTTTTGTTCCTCTAGCTGCAGAATTCAAGCTTGTGTCCAAGAATTTGTGACTTGTGTTCCTGAATTATTTGACAAAGTGTGCTCTCATGCTGTCATCAGGGTAAACTAAATATATAGCGTACTCTACAAGACTACAAAAGTACTTGCATAAAGTTGCTGGCCCCAGTTCCAGTTTTCTCTAATTTTATGGCATTACATTTGTCTGTAAAAATGGAACACTGGATCAGGGCCGGACATTTATTTCACAATACACCACAGTCAGAACAGTATGAGAGAAGAGGGGACTCATTTTACTGAGTACATTTCCACTTAGTAAATAATGCTGTCCATGGTGCTGAAACAGTGATGCCACTGTTAGGGGTTTAAGTACAAAGCAATTTCTTTTTTTAAAGGGTGAAACAAAACTATCACTATAAAAAGGACGAGACCTAATGCATGTGTTTTAGAAGGTGCACTTCTTATTTCTGGTAAAGTGTGCGATTATAATCTCAGCGGTGAAATGTTCAAACTGAAGTAAAATTTGTTGAATCTTTAGTTAAGGTAGGATAACATAGATAACCTTTTTGTTTTTATCTCTTTCTAAGATGCTGAGTAAATATTGGCTTGAATTTATTGAGCCCACCACCAGAGAACTCCACAGCCACATTCAGCGTCCAGTTGGTGCTTGTCTGAGCTTTGGAAGATCCTCACTGGCATCGAACCACTGGACAACTCACCTCAGTAGTAAACTGCCCCTTGACTTCACTTGTCTACATGATTTTCCCATTAGTGACTCTGTGTGACCCAAACCTGGTCTAGTCTGATCCCGCTCTTCTCTCCTCTGTGCTGCTCAGCTCCTGTCTTCACACTGAAGCGACTCCACCTTTACCAAATATCTAAGTCATCTGTGGTGGATGCTTCCATCTTGGCCCATTCTCCTGATCTGCTGCTGAATGTTCATGGATTTCACCTCCTCCTGTCCAGTGCTTGACAACATTAAAGGTACAGTTTGTATTTTCATTTAAAAGCAGAAGAATATTTTGCTCATATTACTCTGTACTGTAGTACAAACTGTATTTCCTGCCAGAATTTTGTTCAAAGCCCTGAAACAGTTTGTCTTCTGTCAGTTTGTGTGTATTGGGTTCCATCCATTCATAATCAGCTGATAAATCTACCTTAGCTGCTGATTGGCTCTGACAGGAGGCACCAGTCATACTGGTTTATAATTCAGCATTCATCCAGTTCTCTACATGCTGTTCAGTAGCAAGCCAAATTGGATGGTTTGGCGGGAGGGATTTGGCCCGCAGGCCCTCAGTTGATAATCACTGCTGTATGGTGTTTGGTTGTTTATCACAGGACATTGGTTGTTCTAGTGTCTAAGTGTTATTGTTCTTCATTGAAATGCACTGGAAAAGGAGGCAAAAAAAGTCACTGTTAAACGAACCCTGAGCAGAAAAGGCTTTTATTTCTTTGACTTTACTATGCATCCATTCAGTGACAATAAAGTGCAGTTGCTCTTTAATCTTTATATTGCACATGTACAGTATATATGACATAATGAGCAATATAAAGATAGAGTAAAAAGATAAAGTCAAGTAATAAAAATAATACAAAGTCATAAAAACAAATAACACAATGAGAGCACGACTAAACAATACAACGTGGAAATAGATTTGATCTGAAATGGCAGATTCATAAAAATGATTGAAAGTTTTAATTTGAGGGCAGTAACTGACTTTAGTTGTTATTTCCTTTGAAAATGAGCTGCAGACTCACAGGACTCCGGCTTCCAGAACTCTGTCTCATTTTGTTTTTAGCTCAGAGTTTGGAACAAATACAATCAGACGAGTGTGGTACAGCCAGAAAAGTTCCTTTTTTATGTTCATAAGCAAAACTTAGCTTTTAAGCAATTATAAGAACCACAGTAGAAGAGGTGATGTGGTCACATCTTTCAGCTCGGGTTAAAAGCTTGAAGCCGCTGGCCTTCATCCTCAGCATAAATACAAAACAGAGAGTGCTGTCGTCCAGTGAAAGCACAGAAAAGGCAAATAAACAAACTACACTGATATATGTTTTATGTTGCAAATACAGGGCATGTTGACATGGCCTGTGTTCAGCTGCCAAAGAACATCAAAGTGTTTTTCTCTGGGCAGAAACACACAGAGCTGAATGGAAAAGGCTGCTGCAGAATAAACAAGTCATTTAAATACCGCCACACGTACACACTCCATGACTCAGGTGACTGTGGACGTCTAGTATTTCAACCGCGGCAGCGACATAGACAGAGGGACGTACGTCCAGAATTGGACGGAATTGTGTTAATATTTGCAGACAGATGTTCAGACAGAATGAAAGATAATGAGCGAATAAACAAACTTATTTCACCGACCTTAACTCACGGTGTGGATGTGGACGTGGTTTCGTGCAACAGTGAGGAAGTGGACGGAGACGGATAATAACGGCAGCTTGAAATTTGGCCATTGATAATTGGATGTTGGGGGATTGGGTAAATTACTGTCTTAAAACTTATTAAATTAAAAGTTTTCTTTGAAAAAGCTATTTTTTTTTTATTTAAAATAAAATCTTTGATATTCCTTGCTCTTCAGAATCACATCAGTGGGTTATTTTGATTCAACGGAGCAATTATATCCTGATTCACTGAGAACACTGATTTGTTTCTGTCCATTTTCTATGCACAATTTAAAAGGTTTGCATGTGGCAAATAGACTGGATGTTTTTAACCTTCCTAGGATTGTTCTCCAGGTATTGGACCCTGGAGCTAAATGACTAAAAGTGTTCTTTATGACTACTACTGTTTTTAAAGACCTAAACCCAGGGGAACAAACCTGAAGACAAAGGTTTAAACCCAATCTATGGACTGCAGCACTGAGAACGGCCGTCCTTTCAGGGCCAGACCTGTATCATGTCAGAACTGTAGTGAACTAGTCGTAGTAAATGTCTTGCAATTCAGTGTGTTTAATTTCAGCCGTGTGCCTTTAGCTGATTGGTCATCATTCTGTAACGACTCCTGTAGGGCTGGTACTAAACCCACCTGAAGTACACGGAGGCAGAAGGGGCAGTACCAAAATCTGCAAATTTTGCATCTGTTAATTTCCCAGCGTGGGAACCACAGTAGGTGGGCTCCAGGTGTTTTTTTTCTGTGAGTCGTTTGTCTCATCATTGTGCTGTTTGAATCTGCCACGGTGGCGACTGATGCTATGCTAAACCGCCACATTCCTCTTTTGTCTGCTTCATTCACCACAGCAATTAATCATCCAGGGTTTTTACTCTCTCCGCTGTTACACCACATCAACATCAGCTCCAGCCCTCCACTGTCCATTAATCTTCACCAGCGTCTTCCTGATATTTCAACCATCTTCTCTCTCACTATGTAAACGATACTTCTGGATCTCAGAAAAATTCATCATAACTGTGCAGCCTTTATTTGATTTTTTTTTTTTTTTTTGCAGTTGAACACTTCGGTGTAGGTTAGGAATCAAAACACTAGAGTTCAAGTGTAGCTCTGTGGCTTCCTGTGTCTCTATCACTCTGTGAGTTTTTGTAGTTAAAGCTGCAGTCTGCCATCTGTCAGGTAAAACAAAACACTGCTGGTGTCCTTGAGGCTTAGTTGAAACGGTGGATTCTGATTGGTTATGCTGTCACATGGGCCCCTCTACTTCACTGTCTTCTGTTGTTTCTCTTTTAACTCATGCCTGCAGAAAACAAAACAATTATGTCGTATGTATTTTTGACCTTGTGACTTTACAGTAGAATAGTCAAGTCATACAGACGGGTTCAGAGGCGGCTTTTAATTAGTGGAGTTGAGGGTTTGATTGCTGCTGTTGGCCGACATTTTTTGCGGACACCACTGAGTCTTTAGCCCACAGAGCGTTGAAGTTTGTCTTCTAGACATGGCTGAAATTATTTTGCTCATTATGCTTTATTTTTTATATATAGTTATATATATAGTTTTTTTTACAACAATCTGATTTTTTTGTTGATATCTGTAACTGAATAAAATAAAAGTTAAATAAAAGAAATCTTGAAATAAAAATCCCAGATGACTCCTTCTACCCTGTTACCTGTATACACATAATGACAATCTGCATCCATAATGACCTCAGTGTTTGGTTAAAAGAATCAAATCTGCCACAGTTCATGACTTCCATGGTAATGCTGTGATTAAGAAACTGTCAGGCGTGCCAATTAGCCACACCTGTGGGGAGAATGTGCTTTGCTTACAGTGTAAACACAGTCCCCAATCATCAGTCTCTGACTTCAGACGGAGCGGCGTTTCTCTAATCTCTGTTTGTCACAATTCAAACAAAACCCAACGTGAAGCTCCGGTGAATAGAGCGGCTTGACAAGATACCCAGGTGGAAGTGATGTGTTTGCACCAACACCTCGCTGTGCGCCGCTGATGAAATCCACTCTGTGGCCTATTGATCTGGCCTGCAGTTTGATTGATGCTGTCTTTAAAAATTCATTAGTTTGAGGCATAGGGGAGCTGCGGAGCGGCAGGCGCTCCTTTAGGGCACATTTGTCTATGTTTACAAAACCAGGAACATCCAGTCAGCAGCCAGAGAAGAGGCCTGACACAGCCACTCAGGGCCAATGAGTCACACTAACACTTTGTACCGGGGACACAGCGACACTAAGCACCTCGTCCCATACGGTGGGACAAAGGGCTAATATTCTCATGCACATTCTTATGCACCCACACATCAGTCTGTCAGTGTAACTGATGGTGTTGTGTGGTCCATTCCTTCATACAATCTAGCCACACATACTGCAAATCCCAACAGATGGAAAATACATACATTTCATTTTCAGGCTGGGGCCGTTCAATTATCTCTGACACCACTGAGTCATAAATCAGTTCCATCAGATGGGTCTTCATTAATAATGTGTTGTGGATCAAAAGTCTCTATTTCTTTATTTGGAGGGTCCTCAAAGGTACAGGATATCAGTAATCTACTGCGTGGCAACAACGGTTCATTTCACTGAATCTCCTTTTTCAAAGTCAGAGTTGGAGAATTCATTTACTGCAGTGTTGACAGTGTGTTGACGAGTGTTTGTATGTGACTGACAAAAGCAAACAATATGACAAGATAACATGTTACAAATGTATGTATCCAAGTATCTATTACCAAATATGAAACTGCCACTTTATCCTTTACATTTATTTAATGGTATTTATTCATACCTCCAACATGTATAACATGACAGTGTACATATCTTGAATCCTGCAGCAGCTTATAAGAGCAGACCTACCTTATGAAGCTACTAGAAGGGATTTCCCCTGAACAATAATTCACTCTGGAGGTGCATTTGTGTGTGTTAATGTGGATGTGGTAGCGGGATGTGGGGGATGACTTGCAGCCAGTGAGGAGTAAATCACCTAATGAACGTCACATGCTGTGGAAAATACCCCCCCCCACCCCGACTTCCTAAGCAGGGCCATTAAGATGTGTCAATTAAGGCTTGTTGTTAATTTTAGCTGTGCTCTTCAATTAGTGCTGATTGGCAGCAGCGTCAGTTAGTGTTTAATGGTGAACAGTGGGTCAGCAGGTTTAAAGCTTCAGCACGTCAATGACAAGTGAAGAGGAGTTGAGGAATGACACAACGGCTGAATGAGCTGCAGGGAAAAAAGAGGGAGACGACTTTAAATGAGAATAAAAAAGGCTTCGAACATTTAGAGCGAAGGAGAATGAAAGAACTGTTGTCAATTCAACTGACGTTGTAGTTAAGTTAGAACCATAGATTCCCACACACACACATACACACATACATGCCCTGAACACTCTCACTTCCACATGAAAGCAGAGACTGAACAGAAGGCGATCCCCGCAGTCTGCACTCGCAGCTCCCCCGCAGTGCATTCTGGGTCAGGTTGTATTCTCCAGCAGAGCAGAGGGAAAGCCTCGGCTGCCAGGACAGGAAAAAAGGGAAGAAAAACACAACAGAGCTGTCTGCTTTTTGTAGCTAGGTAATGAGAAAGT